CTGCTAAAAAGTTTGTCCCCATTTTCTTATAAATCCTCTTTAAGTATTTAAAGGTTAGTTCTCACGGACTAAGGTGAGGCTGACCAGACTGTAGTTCCCTGGATCCTCCTCCTTGCCCTTCTTCAAGATGGGAGTGACAGTTGCTCTTTCCAGTCCTCAGGAACCTCTCCCAGGCACCATGACCTTTCAAAGATAATCAAGAGTAGCCTCACAGTGACATCAACCAGCCCCCTCACCACCTGTGGTTGCCTCCCATCAGGTCCCATGGGCTTACTTTGTTCAAATGTTCCCTGACCTGATCCTCCTCCACCACAGGTATGTCTTCCTTGTTCCAGACTTGCCCTCCAGTCTCAGAGGCTGGGGATTCCTGAAGGCTGGTGTTCCTAGTTAAGGCAGTGCTGAAGGTGATTTTGATACTTTGGCCTTTTCCATGTCCTTTGTCACCAGGACCCCTGCTGCACTTAGCAGTGAACCTACATTTCCCCATGTCTGGCTTTTGCTGCCAGTAGGCCTGGAGAAGCCCTTTGCACTGCCCTTCGCCTCCCTCAGCTGATTCAGCTCCAGGTGGGCTTTCCTGCTGCCATCCCTATACAATCAGTGTCTCTTATATTCCTCCTGCCCCCCTGTCCCTGCTTCCACCTCCTCTGTGCTTCTTTTTTTATGTTTGAGTTTTGTCAGGAGCTCCTTGTTCATCCATGCTGGCCTCCTGCTGCCTTTGTTTGATTTAGTTGGGATGAATAATTCTTGATCATGGAGCAGGTATTTTTCTAATATCAACCAGTTTTCCTGGACCCTTTTTTCTGAAGGACCATATCCCAGGGGACCAGGACCATTTCACATGTTGGTTTGGTGATGCCAGATCACAGCTGCTGTGCAGCAGCAGGTTTATATGAGGTGTAAAGCCCTCTTAGCATGCGTAGCAATCTACCTCCTCAGCATATCACTTCGCATGCGTAGCAATCTACCTCCTCAGCATATCTCACTTTAGGCTGACTGACCAGATGATAAAAGCCTCTCTGCTTTTGTACTGGAATCTGACCGGTCCAGGATGGGTCTGACTTCTTATATGTGTGCTGATTGTGCAGTTACAGTGAATCCCGTGGCTTTTGCATCTACCTTCCTGAAAGAAAGTTCAGGTAACAATTAGAAAGGTCACAATAGAAGTTGGCAGCATCCATCCTCTTAGGAAAGTGGTTTTCCACAAACACAATCTGAGAACCTTTGGTTTATGCCTGCCATAGAGATAATGGATTTTTCTACTCTTTGTTAAGATAAAATTGGACAATAATTTGATTTTTATACCATGGAAGAGTTTGATAGTTTGATATACAAGACAAAAAATCATCATCTGAAGTATGACAGAATTTGACCAGCAGCTTGACGTCATTTAGCTAATTTCATTAGTAGCTCACATTTGCGTGAAGTGCTCCCATTCCTCAAGGATCCTGTGAACTACATCTCCCTTCCCCTTCATGGTTCAGTCCCAACCAGATGGACATCCCATGACACAGCAGGACCAGCAGTCTAAGCTGAACCTGCAGCGGTTTAGCAGTGTGCCAGAAAATGTGGTCTGGCTGAAGAAGCCAGCTCAGGGGTTCAATATGTCACATATGGAAAAGTGAGAATGAGAATCTCTCTGCCACAGATTGTATGTCCTGTTCTGTTTGCTTGTTATTTCAAGCAACACACTTATTGCATTGCTCACCCTAATAATCTTACTCTGTGGAATTGCTTTTGACTAGATGATTTTTGGGGGGATGGGGAGAAATGGGAATGAATTCTCATTGTTATGAGCTGTAAGAGGAAGTAATAGAAAATGCTGAGTAAGAAAAAACTGACGGAAGAAAGAGCATATATCATATTGTACTAACAGTCAAGCATCCCTTTGAAACCTTTTTATCCTGAAAGTATCAAAAGATTATATGCTTTTGGGAAATGTTTTAAGCCTGGTCTTGCAAGCTATCAAACTGGGCAGCTTTCCTGTGGCTGCACAGCATCACATGGGTCACGCACTCCAGCAGTCAAAACTCCAGCTTTAGAAGTATTCACAGACAAGACCCTGAGCAATCGGATCTGACTCAGAAGCTGGCCCTGTTTTGAGCATGAGGTTGGTCTAGATGGCCTCCAGACATCCCTTCCAACCTAATTACTCTATGGTTCTCTATGCCGCTGCTGCTCCTGCTTAGAAGAACTTTAAGATTTTGGTAACGTGTTATTATTTTGTGTGTATGCAGCTATGCTTTTTAAAATTATGAGCTCCTCACACTACTCAGCTAAAGAAAGGTTGGCATTGCTTATGTCAGTGTCACAGTGGCATTTTGGCTATAAAAGTGGTGCTTCACAGATGTCAGCATTTTGAGATTCCAATTTTAAGCTTCTGGTCATCTCCACATACATAAATGAAGGAATGACAGTCCTTCTTCCTATATTTACCATTCTCTAGAAATAAAATGACAGTTTGGAAAGTGCAGAGAGTTGTCTGGTTCCATCCAACATACGTATATATAAAAGCAATGGCCCTTTTTGAAACAAATGAATGATAATGCCATGAAAAAACTGATGGCTCATTGGCTGTATGTCTGCTCCTGCAGCTGCTGAAGATGAAGGGAAATTTTTCAACACTAAACTAAGAAGTATAAAGTACTGATAAGTACTTACTTGCTGAAAGAGGCTGAGTCGAATCTCTAGATCCGGTACTTCTTGGAGGTGTTTATTCACAGAAATAATTAACCAATAAAACAAATAATCTACTGCAGCAAACAGAAGCCAGATGCAAAGATGAATGATTACAGGGAGAAAAAAATACTGCATGTTTTTTCTGTCCTTCCTTGTGAGGCAGAAAGATGGGATTGTCACATAATCTTTTCTTTCTTTTCTGTTAAGTGGCAGAAGACAGGGTCTTTGCTGTTGCTTTTGGTGCTCATCAAACACGATGAACTGTTTTGTGATGTAAGTGTTCTTAAATTTGGCACTGTGAGAGCCCACAAATTTTTTGATAAAGAGGCCAGTTGCAAAAGAAGCTAGAAAAATCCCCACTATAGGCAGTACTTGCTGGCCTATATAGGGCAGTATAGTCAGCATAAAAGATATCTGGTTAGCAACTTTCTGGATTTCTTGCTTTGTGTCATTTAGCTCTTGTTTTAATGCATCATCTGAAATTGAATAAGATGGTGTGAATTCATGACTTAGGAACACTATGTGTTTAGATAATTCAGTGGAAAGCTTGGCCGCATTGTAAATCCATTTTACTGCCTCAACATAATATTTTATCAAGGCAAACTGCTCATACTCTAAATGACAGGTTATACTATCTGCCAGAACTTTTAGGTTGTGAAAAATATTTTGGACGTTGCCGGCCACCACGACACCTGTGCCAGCAGTAATAAGAGCATCCCTGCCATTTTGCAGTCCACAAGAAAGAAGGAACAGGACACTAAAACAGCGCAGGTGCTTGAAACAGGAGAGCACGATAGAAAGCGAAATCCAGATCAATCCAGAAATCAGTAAGGGACCCAAAGTGTGGTGTGCCAGGGAGAAGTGCATGCCAAGGAATAAGAGAAAGCTTGAGAGGAAGCCAACTGCAGAGCAAACTGCAAAAAGCTGCATCAGATACTTCCAGCCAGGCTTCCTTTCGGATACAAAAATTCCCCATGCATGCTGGGCTATGGAGACAAATGTTCGCATTTTCTTCTGATTCTTGCTGACACTGCGATGGCTCAAACTAAAAGGAAAGGAAAACAAAGATGCTGTTAGTCACAGGGTCACACTACTGACGGTGATGTGCATTTAACGGGCTGGTCAATACTTCCCATTGCAAAC